CTCACAACCGAAAAAAACACGAACTGCGCGCGGGAAAATATAAGGAATGAGGAAATTTGCGAAAGCTCGGCGTGAGAAACTGGGATATAAATTTCGCTTGGTTGAAAGCATACTTTGAGCGACAACGTCTAACGTTTATAAAAGCGGTAAATCTTCCATCTTATAATTTGAGGAAATATTTAATACTTGCAACTAGAAGAAACTTTTTTCGTTTCTTAAATATTTCAGTTTATTTTTGAGTTGATTTCCTGTCTATACGAATAAAACTGATGTTGCGGTAGTAATTTATCAGAAACAGAGAACAAGAAGTGACATGCGGAGCAAATATAACCTCAATCAACTTATTGCTTCCATCCGGAGTGCACCGGAAGAAGTAATGTCTGATTTGGAAAGTTTGAAATCATATATTACTCGTGATGTAATGAAATTAAATTACAGTTGACTGCAAACATAAAATGTTTACTTTGTTAACGCAAAAACGTATAAAAATTGTACGTTTTTGCATCTGTTTAAATACCACCCAGGCTTCACAAAGTTTGCTTTAAATATTCATACGGCGCAGTGCCATAAAAAGATTTCGAAAATAAAAATAAAAAAACAAGTCTAATAAAGAAACGATATAAAAGCAAAACGGAAAAATGCCCGCTTCGGCTGTGATCGTTCTTTAAGTAATAGTCCTTTCATGCATATCAGAAAATGTCTAAAATAACCCAGGCATGCATTCCACTTCGGAGGTTGGCAAAAAACTTGTGCTTGAATATTGATTGAATTTATAATACCTGGGTATCACAAGAGTATCGAATGCGGGCGCGCGCCAAAGCAACGATGTAAAACGGATGCTTCTCGGGGCATTTTTCTGTTTGAAGTTCGGGCGCATATTTTACGCACAGTTTCATTCGAAATACTAATACTGTTTGGAAGTTTGTGGTGGAAATACGATTCGGTGACAAAAAACATTCGGGTAAATATCGAAATTTAATTTAGTTTCATATGCAAAATATTTGCCGAACGTTTTCATGATTTTTTGCTCGTTTTTATGACTAATGAGATAAATTTATAGGAGAATTAAATTTGACATGATTAATATGGATAATGAGTGTAAGCGCTCTTGAAATTAATTCTACGGGGTGATTGGAATTATAGCTTTGCTGTAAAAAGCAATCATATTTCCGGCATTAATTTTAAGTAATTGAAAAATGAGTTAAACACGAATCCTGCGTGAAACGAGCGTTTGGAGCGCGCTTTTAATTGCACCGCGAGATAAGACGCTTAATTAATAATTAAAGCGCTCCATTGGCGATGAATGTAATTATGAATTATGTCCATTTTATGCGCTTACTAATAATACGAATAATTTTAACATTTTATAGTGATAACATCAATAGTTTTATTTTTTGAGTATCGAAGTAAATTATGTGTGGATATTTTGCGCAGTAGCTGGCACGTCTAAATCACATTTAGAGATTTAAGCATATGCACCCCTTTTTGGTGTGCTTGTTATAGGAAAGTCGTTATTGCACGGCCCGCCCGCCATAAAACGTTCGGCGTGTGCTCATCGAAAACCTTCAACCACGCCACCCTCACCGCTTCCTTTAATGTGACGTTTACGTGCACAAGTTGCTCGACAGTTCCGTCCGCGCGCTCATCGCATTACCGCCTCACTCGCGAGGTGTCGGCCGAAACAAGACGGCGGCAGGAAACAAGTTGGTGATACCCTTATGACACCCTAGCGTGCAAATTATCACTTCGCCACTTGACAAAATACAAAGTGAATGTTTACCTTCCTCTCGACTCCTCCCTTGCCATACTCTCGCCTGCCACTGTCGATCAAAGCGAAAATCGTGCGCCATAACGACCCCAGCCGCCGCCGCCGCACATCCACCGCACGTTGACTTGTGTGCCCGTGTGCCCGGTATCGCGTTTCGCCATATTTAAGCCCCGCAAAGCTTTACAGCCGTTCATCGCGCATTTCAATATCTAATTCGTGGAAAACAAAGCCATGCGGCTGCCGCCCCCGCGTGTATAGTGTATTGAACTTCGTCAGTCGGGCGCGGCGGGTTGGAGATCACCGCGGAATACACAAATTGATAAGCTTAAGAGGATAAAGAGGGTGACGACACGTAGATATGCGCGGAGGGCGACACACGTGCTGCGAATAACGAATACGAGCACAGGGATGAGGGAATTAAGAAAGCTCGGCAGGCACCGGCGGCTTAAGATAATAAGAATTTATCTTAAAGTGAAGAGACACTTGTCAAAACATGCCGAAGTTAAAGCATACAGACAACAAGTCAAAATTTACAATTTCAAAGATTTTGAATTTAAAATTCGCGCGAGCGAAAGATTAGTGGCGTAAAAGTAACTCTGAAAGACTTTACACCATTAATACTTCTATGCGTCTATATCAATAAGTAGAAACGTGTTTTCCGCCATTTCCCGTCGTCCTTTTGTATCATGCACGACGACGCGCGCGCTCTCGATCCTCCAGAGAAGCGTGAGCAAATCTTAAAGCATCACATACATGTATGTATGTATTGCAAAAAACGAAAAGTGGAAACTTCAAAAGTGTAGGATTCTCGGCTGTGCGCGCGTGTTGGCCGAGGCTTGCAGATTGATGTTCTCGAGGGACGTGATTGATTTCGCAGAATACTGGTGCAAAGCACGTTTCGCGACGGCTCTCCACCCTCACACACACACACATGTGAATCACATACATAGAGTCATCGTTAGAGCGTGTGTGAGTTCATTGCGAGGCGGCGGCGACGGCAGGATAATGCGTGTTAGGAGCATCCCCGGCGGGATCCGAAACCAGGTGACTGAAAACCCACGAGATCACAATCCAATATCACGCGACAACCGGATCGCCGCCGATACGCCACCCACGTACGCGTATACGGTATACACCTAGCCACAACCCGCGCCGCCATACACGGAGCAGTGAAAAGTCGTCGTCACCGCCGCCTAATTGCATTCGCCATCCCGCGCGCGCATTGCTTAAACATTACGGTATTAGGTGTATAAGTTTCCGATTGTCACTTTGTGGCCTGTCAAAAAATTATCTCGGCTTAATGCTGCTCGTAAATCATTGTTTCATTTGTCGTGGGGCGGCGGTAGTGCTGGTAGTAGCGGGTTATGGATCTATTGTTTTTCTCCTGTGGCCGCCATACACGCGCAGATGTTTTCCTTAAAACTGTTTTGCGCCATTTCGTTTTTCCTAAGCGACAATCCTTCGAGTGGCGGCGGCGGCGGCGATGGTGGCAATGCCCGTGGTTGCTCCGGCATCGGGGAATATTTATTGAGATGTATATTTCGAGGCGGAAATTGCGTGAATTTGAAATATAATCCATCAAGATGTCGACTCGTTGTTGCGTCGCTTTGTCATTCAGCCTGGCACTGTGTTGTCTGTGGTGCCTTACGGATATAGATATACGCGGTGACAAAAATAAATTTGTTTACCCAAACTCGCGCATGCGCAAAATCGACGTCGATTTATCCTACTCACCGCTGCGCGAGAAAAAATCACACTTCGTTTTATTTGGATACTAATGTTATATTCAAATATTCCAGGTACTAGTAAGTGATGTTCTGAGACGGACAAAATTAAATTACAAAGTGAATTTGATCAATAAATCAAAACAAACTAACCATGTACATTAACCGAATCCAGCACGAGCGGAATTCCATTAATTATAATTATAATGCAGATATGCAGAAATCTACATCTGCGAGAGTATATCCTCGAAATGAACCTGTATGCACAGACGTATAATCCATTAATAAATTAATTAAATTTGCACAAACAACCGGCACGCGTATTGTCCTTCTATCCATCCGTGTGTGCATTATTATGCAACACAATCAACCGATGCTCTAAACCAGGTTATCGACACTTAATTTATATTTAATGCGCGCGCCGTAAAAAGACCATACTCTCGTTGTCATGTCGAGTAATTATTTAAAAGTTAATTGAGTACAAATATCGTAAAACCGCGGCGCGCAGTAAATTTTATTTCCTAGCCGAAATTTATGAGCAACATTATTAGCTCGTTGTTGAAAGAGTAGGAAAGTGCTTTGTTTTCGTGCTCGTGCTGGAAATCATGGATAATATCATAAACGTAGTTTATTTTATAATGCCCAGATATACGGGGTACGCTAAAACCTAAGTGCACGCGAACGCAACTCGACGGGGTTAAACATTTGCTCAATGTTTACGATTTTTATACAACTGACCAAAATGGCCTCTCGCATAAAGCATATTCTATAAATTCACCTGTCTGAAACAAGCGCCGTTACACGTGACTAAATAAATGAGTGCAATGCACTGATAGATCATCAACGCTGAAATTATGTAGAGAAAAAAACAACCAACATCATGTTTGCTTTATTATTTTTTAATGCGCTGGATTTACATATTTAAAACTATCCAGCTACCTGATCTAAACAGTATATTTCCACTGCGTATTTCCAGCTGAAATAATGCAACGCAATGCACACAATAACTGAAACAACAAAAAAAATCAGCGCGACGGATGAGATGTGAACATTGCACGTTGTGAAAGTGCACGCAAGAGACTAGATGCCCGCATGGTGATAACATCATTGCTTACCGAAGAGAAAAACAGCCGGATTAAACTGGATTGTAAATTTTCTATTCATACATCAGCGCGCGAGTGTTTTCGCAGTGTGCGGTTAACACCGCCACAATGAGAATGTGTGTAGGTATGTGTGCACAGCGGTATAATGCATTAGCAGTTTTATGTTATTTATCATTATTTTGCCTCCGCAAATGTAGCTGGCGCGCGCGCGAGTATTTGTACTCATTATGTTTGTTTTATCAACACATCTAGATTGTTATTTAATAGTGAAACGAGTCATATTTTATATGTCTCCTAGGGAATGCTAAATGGCTCTGACTGAAAATATTTAAGTGCTGGTACATATTTTATTCACTAATTACGCATAATCGATAAATATTAACAATGATTTATTTTATGTTTCAGGTGAAGTCATCCATTATGCTTCTAATGTAAGTGTCATTTTTAAGTTACAACATTAAAATTTAAAATTTTATTTATCAATTGCGTAAAAAGTTGTTGACAAACATGTAAGGTGTTTGTGCGCAATTTCCAGTGAAATTTTACAATCTTTCATAATCTACAATTTTCTGGTTGCTATCTCTTTTAGTTTGGAAGATATTCGCGATTGAATAAAATGGGCAAAAATTGGAAAATGTCACTTTTTACTACTTTTAGTCGCGTTTTTTTACTTTTTACTGTTGGAAATATAATTATTTTATATTTTTTCTGATAGAGAATTTTCCAATCTTTCATAATCAGCAATTCGTTGGTTGCTATCGCATTTAGTTTAAAAGATATTAATTATCAAAAATCGTTGAAAAAAGTGTCAAGCACCCCCCTTGGCAATTTTTTCTTAAGAATTAAAATTTTATCTCACAGATTTCCGTTTTAACTATCATATCTGATAGAGAATAGTCCGTAGATTAAGACGCTGCGATCAGATCCTATTTATCTCTTTTAGTTTACGAGATATTCGCGATTGAAGAAAATGGGCAAAAATTGCAAAATGTCACTTTTTGGCACTGTTAGTCGCGTTTTTCGACCTTTTACTCTGGGAAATATAATTAGTTTATATTTTTATCTGATAGAGAATTTTCCAATCTTTCATAATCAGCAATTCGTTGGTTGCTATTGCTTTTAGTTTAAGAGATATTAATTTTTGAAAATCGTCGAAAAAAAGTATCAACAATTGCCCCCCCCTTGGCAATTTTTTCTTAAGAAATAAAATTTCATCTCTCAGATATCCGTTTTAACTATCCTATCTGATAGAGAATAGTTCGTACATTAAGACGCTGCGACCAGATCCTCGTTATCTCTTTTAGTTTACGAGATATTCGCGATTGAAGAAAATGGGCAAAAATTGCAAAATGTCACTTTTTGGCACTTTTAGTCGCGTTTTTCGACCTTTTACTCTGGGAAATATAATTAGTTTATATTTTTATCTGATAGAGAATTTTCCAATCTTTCATAATCAGCAATTCGTTGGTTGCTATTGCTTTTAGTTTAAGAGATATTAATTTTTGAAAATCGTCGAAAAAAAGTATCAAGCACCCCCCCTTGGCAATTTTTTCTTAAGAATGAAAATTTTATCTCTCAGATTTCCGTTTTAACGATCCTATCTGATAGAGAATAGTCCGTAGATTAAGACGCTGCGATCAGATCCTATTTATCTCTTTTAGTTTACGAGATATTCGCGATTGAAGAAAATGGGCAAAAATTGCAAAATGTCACTTTTTGGCACTTTTAGTCGCGTTTTTCGACCTTTTACTCTGGGAAATATAATTAGTTTATATTTTTATCTGATAGAGAATTTTCCAATCTTTCATAATCAGCAATTCGTTGGTTGCTATTGCTTTTAGTTTAAGAGATATTAATTTTGAAAATCGTCGAAAAGAGTATCAACACCCCTTGGCAATTTTTCTTAAGAAATAAAATTTCATCTCTCAGATTTCCGTTTTAACTATCCTATCTGATAGAGAATAGTTCGTACATTAAGACGCTGCGACCAGATCCTCGTTATCTCTTTTAGTTTACGAGATATTCGCGATTGAAGAAAATGGGCAAAAATTGCAAAATGTCACTTTTTGGCACTTTTAGTCGCGTTTTTCGACCTTTTACTCTGGGAAATATAATTAGTTTATATTTTTATCTGATAGAGAATTTTCCAATCTTTCATAATCAGCAATTCGTTGGTTGCTATTGCTTTTAGTTTAAGAGATATTAATTTTGAAAATCGTCGAAAAAGTATCAACACCCCCTTGGCAATTTTTCTTAAGAAATAAAATTTCATCTCTCAGATTTCCGTTTTAACTATCCTATCTGATAGAGAATAGTTCGTACATTAAGACGCTGCGACCAGATCCTCGTTATCTCTTTTAGTTTACGAGATATTCGCGATTGAAGAAAATGGGCAAAAATTGCAAAATGTCACTTTTTGGCACTTTTAGTCGCGTTTTTCGACCTTTTACTCTGGGAAATATAATTAGTTTATATTTTTATCTGATAGAGAATTTTCTTATCTTTCATAATCATCAATTCGTTGGTTGCTATTGCTTTTAGTTTAAGAGATATTAAATTTTGAAAATCGTCGAAAAAAAGTATCAAGCACCCCCCCTTGGCAATTTTTTCTTAAGAATGAAAATTTTATCTCTCAGATTTCCGTTTTAACGATCCTATCTGATAGAGAATAGTCCGTAGATTAAGACGCTGCGATCAGATCCTATTTATCTCTTTTAGTTTACGAGATATTCGCGATTGAAGAAAATGGGCAAAAATTGCAAAATGTCACTTTTTGGCACTTTTAGTCGCGTTTTTCGACCTTTTACTCTGGGAAATATAATTAGTTTATATTTTTATCTGATAGAGAATTTTCCAATCTTTCATAATCAGCAATTCGTTGGTTGCTATTGCTTTTAGTTTAAGAGATATTAATTTTTGAAAATCGTCGAAAAAAAGTATCAACACCCCCCCCTTGGCAATTTTTTCTTAAGAAATAAAATTTCATCTCTCAGATTTCCGTTTTAACTATCCTATCTGATAGAGAATAGTTCGTACATTAAGACGCTGCGACCAGATCCTCGTTATCTCTTTTAGTTTACGAGATATTCGCGATTGAAGAAAATGGGCAAAAATTGCAAAATGTTACTTTTTGGCACTTTTAGTCGCGTTTTTCGACCTTTTACTCTGGGAAATATAATTAGTTTATATTTTTATCTGATAGAGAATTTTCTTATCTTTCATAATCATCAATTCGTTGGTTGCTATTGCTTTTAGTTTAAGAGATATTAAATTTTGAAAATCGTCGAAAAAAAGTATCAACACCCCCCCCTTGGCAATTTTTTCTTAAGAAATAAAATTTCATCTCTCAGATTTCCGTTTTAACTATCCTATCTGATAGAGAATAGTCCGTAGATTAAGACGCTGCGATCAGATCCTATTTATCTCTTTTAGTTTACGAGATATTCGCGATTGAAGAAAATGGGCAAAAATTGCAAAATGTCACTTTTTGGCACTTTTAGTCGCGTTTTTCGACCTTTCACTCTGGGAAATATAATTAGTTTATATTTTTATCTGATAGAGAATTTTCCAATCTTTCATAATCAGCAATTCGTTGGTTGCTATTGCTTTTAGTTTAAGAGATATTAATTTTTGAAAATCGTCGAAAAAAAGTATCAAGCACCCCCCCTTGGCAATTTTTTCTTAAGAATGAAAATTTTATCTCTCAGATTTCCGTTTTAACGATCCTATCTGATAGAGAATAGTCCGTAGATTAAGACGCTGCGATCAGATCCTATTTATCTCTTTTAGTTTACGAGATATTCGCGATTGAAGAAAATGGGCAAAAATTGCAAAATGTCACTTTTTGGCACTTTTAGTCGCGTTTTTCGACCTTTTACTCTGGGAAATATAATTAGTTTATATTTTTATCTGATAGAGAATTTTCCAATCTTTCATAATCAGCAATTCGTTGGTTGCTATTGCTTTTAGTTTAAGAGATATTAATTTTTGAAAATCGTCGAAAAAGAGTATCAACACCCCCCCCTTGGCAATTTTTTCTTAAGAAATAAAATTTCATCTCTCAGATTTCCGTTTTAACTATCCTATCTGATAGAGAATAGTTCGTACATTAAGACGCTGCGACCAGATCCTCGTTATCTCTTTTAGTTTACGAGATATTCGCGATTGAAGAAAATGGGCAAAAATTGCAAAATGTCACTTTTTGGCACTTTTAGTCGCGTTTTTCGACCTTTTACTCTGGGAAATATAATTAGTTTATATTTTTATCTGATAGAGAATTTTCTTATCTTTCATAATCATCAATTCGTTGGTTGCTATTGCTTTTAGTTTAAGAGATATTAAATTTTGAAAATCGTCGAAAAAAAGTATCAACACCCCCCCCCCTTGGCAATTTTTTCTTAAGAAATAAAATCTCATCTCTCAGATTTCCGTTTTAACTATCCTATCTGATAGAGAATAGTCCGTAGATTAAGACGCTGCGATCAGATCCTATTTATCTCTTTTAGTTTACGAGATATTCGCGATTGAAGAAAATGGGCAAAAATTGCAAAATGTCACTTTTTGGCACTTTTAGTCGCGTTTTTCAACCTTTTACTCTGGGAAATATAATTAGTTTATATTTTTATCTGATAGAGAATTTTCCAATCTTTCATAATCAGCAATTCGTTGGTTGCTATTGCTTTTAGTTTAAGAGATATTAATTTTTGAAAATCGTCGAAAAAAAGTATCAACACCCCCTTGGCAATTTTTCTTAAGAAATAAAATTTCATCTCTCAGATTTCCGTTTTAACTATCCTATCTGATAGAGAATAGTTCGTACATTAAGACGCTGCGACCAGATCCTCGTTATCTCTTTTAGTTTACGAGATATTCGCGATTGAAGAAAATGGGCAAAAATTGCAAAATGTTACTTTTGGCACTTTTAGTCGCGTTTTCGACCTTTTACTCTGGGAAATATAATTAGTTTATATTTTTATCTGATAGAGAATTTTCTTATCTTTCATAATCATCAATTCGTTGGTTGCTATTGCTTTTAGTTTAAGAGATATTAAATTTTGAAAATCGTCGAAAAAAAGTATCAACACCCCCCCCTTGGCAATTTTTTCTTAAGAAATAAAATTTCATCTCTCAGATTTCCGTTTTAACTATCCTATCTGATAGAGAATAGTCCGTAGATTAAGACGCTGCGATCAGATCCTATTTATCTCTTTTAGTTTACGAGATATTCGCGATTGAAGAAAATGGGCAAAAATTGCAAAATGTCACTTTTTGGCACTTTTAGTCGCGTTTTTCGACCTTTTACTCTGGGAAATATAATTAGTTTATATTTTTATCTGATAGAGAATTTTCCAATCTTTCATAATCAGCAATTCGTTGGTTGCTATTGCTTTTAGTTTAAGAGATATTAATTTTTGAAAATCGTCGAAAAAAAGTATCAACACCCCCCCCTTGGCAATTTTTTCTTAAGAATTAAAATTTCATCTCTCAGATTTCCGTTTTAACTATCCTATCTGATAGAAAATAGTTCGTACATTAAGACGCTGCAATCAGATCCTCGTTATCACTTTTAGTTTACGAGATATTCGAGAATTAATATTTCATCTCAGATTTGCGTTTAAAATTGTGAAGCTAGTATCTGTCATATTCATTGATGACACTAGGATGTATTAAAAATCATAAAATCGAGTTATACGGCATATTTTTATATTTATCGACAAACGTGAGCACAAGAATAGTTTTGTATACAATGCTGTTATCTGCGATTCGGTGTAAACAACGTTTTTAACGCATGTGTCCCGCGCGCTGTCTCCTAGCGCCGCATCAACTTGCTGCATGCAGTGAAGTCTAGTTTAGTTTAGATCACAGGTAATGTGCTTATTGCAAATTCGCGCACAAGGTCGCGTGCCTTCGACGCGCCGTCTTTGCGCACCTTTTGCTTTCTTATCATATACTGTTCCGTCGTTGTATACGCAATTTCGGCATGCACTATCAGTGGATTGCAGTCAGTTTCGTGCCGGTCGCTGGTTAATCCAATCGTGTTTGGAGAGACTTATATCGTTTATTCGGACTTCAATATTCTAGATTTGTGTTATACCTACATGAAGATCAATCGACTATTTATTTGTACTTTGCGACTATAGTAATTTCTTTAATGTTCGGAAATGCCGGTTTTTGGTCGCGTTTGTTATGTACATATATTACAAGTCACGTGATAGTGAATTTGATAACATTCTTCATTTGGCGTTGTGTTTAGTGTCGGTTGATTCTCATCATTCAGAAAGATCCATCAGGCTCGTGTAAGTAATTTTTAATTAAACAGCACAGATTGTTTATTTTGTGTTGATTGTTAATTATAACACAATTCAATTGTATGAAATATTTTTGTATTATTTTAAAAATAATGCTGTAACTTGTTGTGTATTTTATTCACTAATTACGCATAATCTATAAATATTAACAATGATTTATTTTATGTTTCAGGCGAAGTCATCCATTATGCTTCCAATGTAAGTTTTTTTTTAAAGTTCTAACATCAAAATGTAATATTTTATTTATTTATTGCGTAAAAAGTTGTTGACAAACATGTGCGCTGTCTGCGCGCAATTTCCGGCGCAGATATTTGCGTGAAACGCGTCGAAACAAATTTTGATAATACATTAGGCAAGTTGTTCGACGTTTCGAGGCATATTCGTCGTATTGAATTGTTGTTTCGCTTCCGCCCGCGCGCACAATACATCATCGTAAAAGTTTCCACTAAGAGCCGTGCTGACAGATGTAACTGGGGGTGCTCGACGTTAAATAATGCTCCCGGCTGCCGGCGCGCGCTTACCTCATCCGCGAGGCGGCGGCTAACGGCGGCACTATAATCCCATATGCGGTTCTTGAGTAATGAGAGGTCTGCGCCGAGGCCGCGGCGGCACATCGAATGGCACATCTTCGGATTACAGCCGATCTTCGCAGACGTTCAACTTAACTATACATGAGCTATCTAAAGGCTATACAACCATTTACTCCTCACTTCCAGCGCGCCAGCGGCAGGCGCACGACGTTAGACCAGAACTAATAGGGATGCTGGGATTAAGTTATTAGAAATGTCTATCGGATATCAAGCGTGCTACTAATTGTTTAATTAAGTACCTACCTGTGCATCATCTGCTCCTATTTAAATATCGTATAATGAGCATGATGACAATGGATAATAATTGGGGATATAGTTGCTTTAGTTGTTAAGAACTTGTATTTTAGCTAAAAAGTTTGGTTTGGTCGGTGACGTCAATGGGCATCTTTCCTTTTACCCAGTTATACTCGGTCTTGCCCGACAGCTAAAAATTTTGTTTTTCTATTCCATGCCTATTAAAAGCAATTAAAAATTTCCAAACAACCACAATTTAAATTAAGTAATAAAATTTTGATTGGCAAGCAGATTTTGAACCGCGAAAGGGTGGTGGTAGACTGGTGGAATGCCAACGAGAGGAAGTATCAACTTATGCTCACCCAAGTTTTATCTCGTTTTTACTGCCCGCTGTGTGTGTGCGCATACCTATCTACTGCGCACAGCGCAAAGCGAGAGTGTCTTAAAGAATGAATATCGGGGTGTAATTTAAAATAATGGTCCATTTGCTATCTTCCGCGCACATATATCCAGAGAGAGCAAAGAAAAGCTATTAAAGATCAGACTGCGCTTTGATGATGATACTACATCAGTAAAAACGGAAAGAAATTAATACGGAAAAAAAAACGCAGAAGGAGGAAAAAAGTTTCTTGTGCGGGGGGGGCGGCGGAGGTTGGCATGTTTTACTCCCTGTTTTATTCGCGAGTATGATTATGATCAAATGGTACGGAAAGCTAATTTCAAACAAAGGCTCTCATAACAGCAGCAAACGCCGTTTAAACAAAGACGCAGCATTTTTGAGTGTTCTACTCATTATTAAAATGATACTTTATGAGGGTATGGTAAACAAGTACTTTTTAAATGTTTACATTTTATTTTGACTGCAGAAAATTAAAAAAATATATAAATATTATTAAATTTTGAAGCTATAAAGTTTATAAATAAAAGTTGATGATATTTTAAGTAATCTATCAAAGTTTAACTTTAATTTGCTCTTGGTATAATACGAACGCAGGTACTTTCAAATGGCACAAATTCGTAATACTGTGTCTAACTTTGAGTTAAACTCTGACAAGAATTTAATAAGACCGACGACGGTCGGAAGGTAAGACTTAATTTCAGGTAGAATATGTGACGTTTTCCTGTTGATGACCTACATTTATTCAAAATTAAGTTTTCTACGATTTTATGCGCGTAGTATTTAAAAATCTAATTTATATCGTGCGTTTTTTGTGTTGCGTCATATATTTAATGCAAAAACGTTGGCGCAAAAAGCCAATCTGTCGAAATTCCAAGCTGCATAACCGAGTTACCGCCCGTGCACAATAAAGTTTATTCATGCCGTAAAGCACAACACCATTCGTCATTTAAATGGACAATATTTTTTGTTATTCGCCCGTTTCTTTATTTTATTCGGGCGCGCATGCAAACGCAACAATATATTCCGTGAGCGTGTAACACCTCACGTTCGGCGCGGGGGGCGGTCGAGGAGGGGGCCACGGGCGCTTGGAAAAATGTTCGACCGGTTTATGCGCCGCCGCCGCCGCCGCCATTGAATTTTTAATGACAATCGCTCCGGCAACATGAACATTTATGTCAGGTGTACTACTCCTATGGGATGCATGCATAGTTTATTCCAGGGATCAAGTTTGCGCACAGCTCGCCGGGATATTGTGTGCCAATACGCGCTAGCGCACTTCGGAAAGCTTGCTTTTCTATTATTGTCAAAGATTCCCGGGCGAAATTTTGCGCCAATGTCACTTTATTGCCACGGTACTTTTGTAATGGTGCATGGATAATAGAGCAGACTGGACATGCGGTGAGCGAAAAAAAATGCCTGGAAAGTCGTGTTGCTTGTCGTAAAATCGCAAATTTGTGCGCCGAGTGCAGAATAAATCATTCATTTTAATTCGTTGCTGCGAGTACGACATCTTAAACGACGTGCAGTATGTCTATACTTGGTCTGATAAATTTGAAAAAAGTTTTTTATTTCTTCTTTTCGAAATTTCTACTTGAACAAACCGCATCGCTATTCCGGGCTTTATGTTCCGCTCTTGCAGCAGCAATTTCTCACTGCATTCTTGTGCAGTTTATGTAAGGGCCACCGCCTGATGTTTCGCTCTTTCATATTTCTCACCAGCGTGCTGCCACCGGTAAATGAAGAGCAAGCGCGTTTGGAATTATAAGCGAACTTATTGGAAAACGTCCGATTCCGACCTCCGGCGCGTACTATTCCGCAAATATACTAAAATAACACGCATTTCCGACATTTCTGTTTGTTTGCATCACTGGCTTATTTTTATTTTCTTATTCTAAAAATCGAAATGTTTCCTTCAATTGCAAATCCCATTGATGGTATTTTTGCTAATAGATTCAAGCAATCATTATATCGCCAGCATTCGGGTGCAACAAATAACCTACACTTACTAGACGCGATCCATTAGCCCCTGCCAGCTCGGATGGCAGTCGTTTATTTTTCCATTTTTGCTCGCCTTTTTCTACCCGCTGGCGCGCTGTTGTTGCTTCAGCTTCCATTTGAACGCCTCCTGCCTTGTAGCTGGGATCAAATATAAAGATTCCGACCGTTTGCAGCCTCATTTCAGGGCACAAGTGCGCGCTGCACTTCCAAAGTGTTCTTCACAACTTCTGCACAGCATCATGAAATTAATAATAAAAAAATGGTGTCGTAATGTAAACCAGGATTTTATTACTTTATTTTTTCATTATTCGCGCTGTGTGTTCAATGGTGATGGAGGTTGTATTTTTTAATATAGGGCTTTAAATTTCGGAGGAGAACTGTCAGTGGTTTTCGGATAAGTTTCGAGCGGCGGGTACAAAAGGGTTCATTCAAGGTTTGTTCGGGCGTTGTTTGTCTTCGCGTTCGAAAGTGAAAATGATTTATTATTAACGCGGGTCGTTAATAACTAATATATCCACCGGCGGCGGCGGTTCGTGGGTAGCGAACATAATTCCAGCATCTGGAAGGGTCCAATCGGTCGGTAACAAACGAGAAATGCATTTACCGGATGCGATTTTTCTGGGCGGTTTGAAATCAGCGCGTCGCGTATTTCACAATTGCAATATAGCTATATATATAATCGGTGTTTGGAAGACCCGCAGGATGGTGTGCACGCCGGGGGTTGAGCCACACGGTCGAAAGCTCGCTGGCGTACAAAAGGACGTGTCTGCGTCTATTGTCACGTTGCTCCTCTCGCCCGTGGAGAACGTTCACCGAGCGTTCAAAGACCTGCTTTTCTTTTCAATTCTTCGTGCATTCGGCGTCCCTTTATTTCCAAAGCGTTTTCATTTTGCCGCTGTCGTTTTGCTTTTAGCGCTCTGCGGAACTGTGTAACGAATCAACATCAAAGTAATAATAGTTTTGTGGATATACGAATGTTTTTGCTTATTTCTGTGTCCTGTGTTGTCTGCTGTCTTGTTGTTTGTTGTTTGCGTTTTTTTGGCCCGGCGGTTGTTGTGTTCGTGTCAGCGTTACTTTTGTCGTCGGGGCAGCATTTTAAATGAAAACGTGAGAGATTGCGCCTGCACCGGGTGATACCTTTTTGGTAAATGCCTTAATTAATTAACGCACTCGCGAACACACACACACACAAGTCATGCATTTAATTTTGCGCAAAGGGCGCCATCGTTTTCGCAGTTAACACCTCGCCGAAGCCTTACAATTTACGAGATTAATGATTGTTTGCCTGAACAACGCAGACACCTAATGCTTAAGTAATTGCCACGTAAATTACCTGCCTTACAAGACTAAAATAAATAATGGACATTGTTATTTATATAAACTAACAATTTTCCCAAAACAAACGTAACTTTACATTTTAATTAATCCGGTTAACTGGTACTCGTATAACTTAACTAAACTACGCCCCTGTAGTGTGGTCGCAATCATGAATGCCTTATAACTCCGATGAAGGGTTTCATGAGGGGTGTGAGGGCCGTCAACCAGCGCATACCATAAGTGTACACATTCTCAGTCAACGGGGGATCAATTAAAGTTTGATTAATCGATACGCTTGTATGTACACACATTCGCGCCGCACCTGAGGGGTTTAAGTGGATTGTCGTGTCTCTCGTTGCGGCAACCCTCTTCCGCGCACACCTTCACCGGGCGGAATGCGAGGGCGTCGATGGACACGGGTCAAGAATCTGCGCATACTCTTTTAGTTGTGATAACAATGTCGCGCAACACGAAACCGGCGCCGAAGTGTTTTCTGCGCCCGGCTTTCAGGAAACAAAGCCAAATATTCGCGTGCGCTTGAGGGTTGAATTTCACAGACCAAACATTTTCACTTCAGGTCATAATACAGCGCATTAAAAAACCGTGTTTGTAAACACTCATCGTGAATGTTTGCTTTTCGGATTTGTTGATAAATAAAA